ACCACCAGCACGACGACGACGACGACTACTACTATTACTACCGCTTGTGCTTGTCATCCCTGTTCTCATCCTCTTCATCGCTTTTATAATCGCCATCTACAGCAGCAGCAACAACAACATGTTCGTTGTCATGCTGTCCAGCAGCAGCTGTCGAACAAAATCACGCCCCAAGGGTTTGGTCTTTGAGCTCCACGCCTGTGCTGCACCACAGTTATGCGACTGTAGGGCCGGTTTAGATCAGGAGCCGTACTACAACAGCGCTGCTTCACGCTCCAGGGCAGACGTCAGCAGAGATGTGCTGTAAACAAAGGAAAGAGTTGTCCCCGCTCCTCCAGAAGACAAGTCCAAGAACCAAAGAGCCGTGTAGGGCTTGAACCGAACTGGAGGCAACAGCCTTGGACTACCTTTCTTGCAAGCCTTGAGCACTCGGAAGGTCCAAACCGCAAACTCTGTAAAACCTCAACCCTCCAATCCCCAAGCCCCTAAACCCTGGAAGTTGCATTGACCACCTCACACCTAAACCCTACACCCTAAACCCTAAACTCTAAACCCTAAACCCAAAACCCAAATCCGTAGCAGGTGGTTTTGTGAGCGACTACCTCGAGCGGAAGGGCGACAGCCACTTCTGCCTGGTGCCAGCAGGCCAATCCTTCGAAGGTGAAATTGTTGTTGTTTTAAGGTTTAGGGCTTAGGGTTTGGAGTTTTTTGTTTCCCAAAGCTGTCATCGGGGCGCCTGGGTTTGTAAGGGTTTGGATGCGCCTTGTTTCTGTATACATGATTGGTTAGGGCTTTCGTGTTTGAGGTTGTTGGTTGTGATTTTTTGGGGTTTTGGGTGTTAAGGTTTCGGTTTGGGCCGATAGGTGACTGCAGTACTAATATAGCAGCACCAGCACGCAGGGCTTGGAAGGAGTTTCGACGTACTGCCGTTCGACATTTTATGTAGATTTTTCGCGTTAAGGGCTTTAGAAATTTAAGGTTCGGGGGTCAGGGCTGAAGGTTTTAGGGTTCAGGGTTTCAGGGTCTCGACAGGGATAAGGGGCCACGGGGTAACTGATACGGGGCTAGGCGGCCTAAACCCTAAACCCTAGACCCTAAATCCCAAACCCAAAACCCCTAAACCCCTAAACCCCTGAACCCTAAACCCTAAACCCCTAAACCCCTAAACGGTCTTGGCGATTGAAGCTTGAAAGCTTGACCCTGAACTCTCCCAGCTGCAAAATCACCCACTAAGAAAGCCTTGACCCCAGCAGCTCCGCCTAAAATCCCTCATAAAGCCAATCCTGTAAGAGTGTTAGGCTAGGGTTTAGGGTTTACGGTTTAGGGTTGGGGGTCATATCATAAGAAAGTAAGGTAGCCAGCCAAAACGAACAACTACAGCAAGGGCTTAAGTAAACCTTACACCATAGCTATAGTCTCCACTGTAGTTCCTTTTGGGGGTTACCTTATAAGGTTCTAAATGCATACTTCGTTAAACCAAACAAGGAACGACGACGGAGACTATAGGTCAACCCTAGACTCCAGATCCTAAGCCCCTAAACCACAGGTACGCCCCCCAAAGCCTGACAGTGGAGGTACAAGCCCTTGGACCAACCATCTCTACGAGAGCTTCTATGCCGGCTGCATCCCAGTCATCCTCAGTCTCATTCTTAGTGGCTGAGTAGGTAACCTTTAACCTTTTGGGGCTCTTATAATCCTACTATAATTTTTGGGGCTAGGGTACTCAGCCCCTAAGCATTGGCTGCATTTTGTGGAGGTTCACGGGTGTCGGAAATTTCGGGATTCTGAAGTTTCGCGGTTTGGGGTTCAAAGGATGTTGCGTGAATGTGGAGTAGACGATACTTCGTGGAGTGAGCCCTACCACGATTTTGATAGCAACTTTCCTGTCAATGGGCACCCCTTAACCCTAAAACCCTAAGCCCCTTAACCCTAAACCCCTAAACCCAAATCCGAAACCCTAAACCCATAGAATCCATAGAACCCTAAAACCCTAAACCCCTAAACCCGAAACCCTAAACCCCTAAAGCCTAAAACCCTAAGCTCCTAAACCCGAAACCCTAAACCCCTAAAGCCCTAAACCCCTAAACCCCTGAACCCGAAACCCCATGTGCAGTCGTTCGGGTGGCCTTTACATGACGAGGCGCTGAGCCTAGACGCCCGACTGCCTGGACCCCAGCCCCACTTTGCTTTATTATCGTGGGGACTAGAGTTTTGTAGTCTAGTATAGTATAATACGGATCATAGCATAGCATAGCATAGCATAGCATAGTATAGTATCGTGTAGTACAGTATGGTATATTGTAATGTAGCAATAGGAGCTCGTTTGTACTTTGCTGTTTTGGTTTAAGGTGGATAAGCAAGCGATTCTGCTTGGGCTCCGCATCCAGCCCGGTGAAACCTCTACACCCTCCAAGCCCAGGACTCAGTACATATCTTATACTATAAGGCACTCTAAAACCCTCCTAAACCCTAAAACCTAAACCCTAAACCATATCCTAATTATCATGGCCCCTTTATGATACAACCCTTGTACGAACCCTTTTTGATCTCACAGGAGCCCGTTTAAGGAACCCTATCATAGAATCCGCTAAAACCCTATACGATTTTTCATCCCTTAAAGGGATTAACCCTAATACCCTGAATCCTGAACCCTAAACCCTAAACCCTAAACCCTAAACCCTAAACCCTAAACCCTAAACCCTAAACCCTAAACCTAAACCCAATGCTACCAGAGGTGATGAGTACAATGTGGCCTTCGCTGAAGAGCTCCCTTGGGCTGCTGGGCTTCAGTTTAGGGTTTAGGGTTTAGGGTTTAGAGTTTAGCATTTGGGGCCTAGGGTTTCTGATTTGGGTTAAGGTTGCAAAGTTTAGGGTTTCGCACTCGGGTTTCGGATTCAGGGTTTAGCGTTTAGGGCCTTGGGTTTCTGATTTGGGTTTGGGTTGCAGGGTTTAGGGTTTCGCACTCGGGTTTCGGATTCAGGGTCTAGCGTTTAGGGCCTAGGGTTTCTGATTTGGGTTTGGGTTGAAGGGTTTAGGGTTTCGCACTCGGGTTTCAAATTGAGGGTTCAGCGTTTAGGGCCTAGGGTTTCTGATTTGGGTTTGGGTTGAAGGGTTTAGGGTTTCGCACTCGGGTTTCAAATTGAGGGTTCAGCGTTTAGGGCCTGGGGTTTCGGATTTGAGTTTAAGTTTTAGAGTTTAGGGGTTTAGGGTTTGGGTTTAAGGCTTGGGATTTGGGCTTTGGTTTTAGGGTTTAGATTTGGAATTAGGCTTTTGGGTTTGTAAGGTTTTCTACTTGGGTTTAGGGTGTGGGGTTTCCGATTCAGGGTTTAGCGCTCAGGGTTTCGGATTTGGGCTTAGGTTTTAGGATTCAGGGGTTCAGGAGCTTTGGGTTTTAGGGTTTTAGGGTTTAGGGTACCGAGGGGTTTAGCGTTCAGGGTTTCGGATTTGGGTTTAGGTGTTAGGGTTTAGGGTCTCGCACGGGTTTAGGCTGTAGGGTTTCGGATTCATGTCGCCTGTAGGGTTTCGGATTTGGGTCTAGGTTTTAAGCTGGTTTTCAGCTTGAGCTTCGGCAGGGGGGGAAATCATGATTCGAAAAACTGTAACACCAATGTGCAGGTTGAGCTAGTTGGCGAAAAACATCGCAGAAAACAGGCGGCAACACAGACGCAACCGAAACAAAGCAGTGAAGCAATGTAGCAACAGCAACGAAAGAAGCAGTTCGAGTGTTGGTGCTCGCAAGCACGTGGTAAAGGATGCACATGTTGCAGTGTTTTCTTCTCACCATGAAGGCCGCCTGCTACCACCTGCCCTAATGCTTCCACTGAATGCGAAGACTTTGGTTGCATCGACCACATGATTAGTTGCCACAGTTGTAATTCAATGGGCCGAATATTCACAAGACCAGACGTACTAGTATTGGTCGTCGTAGTCATAGTACTAGGAGACCAGCTTAGTAGGTCAGTGGGCTTGTAGTCTTCTGATAGGCAGGCTAGCAGGTAGGAGATGGTAGGTAGCAGTAGCAGTAGTAGACTACTACTACTATTGTTATTATTACTACTACTACTACTACTACTCCTCCTCCTCCTGCTGTCACTAACACTTACGACTAAGACTTCGACTGCTATGGCTAGTACTAGTACGACGACGACTACTGCGCTTGGGGCTTCCCATC